TCCAAGCACCTCTTCTGGATCGAGCTTATACCAGCGGCTTTACATCTGATACTGGTTCTGCTACTCCCTCAGGTTGGCGCACGGCAGGTGGATATGGCGACGTAATGTCTGTAAAAGAACCGAGTGGTCGACAGGCTCTGACTTCTACTCTAGCCCCTACATCCCGACTTACTGTACAAACACTTAGTCCGGATGCCTTTCCTTGGCCAGCTGGTGGTCTGGCTGAGACCTGGCATCAGTTGGAGTTTTCAGAGCTTAGTCCAGGTGGAATATGGGCCTTGGTACCACTTGACGTCTCTAGTACTAGTCCGCCGATCCCCAAATCAGCAACCGTCCCCTCAAATCCCGTCTCTTCATCTTCGTCTGAAGCCGGAATGGCTGAACCGGCTGGGACACTCTCACGAACCTGTTCTTCCCTACACCCTCGACAAGATGCTCTGATTAGGTGAAGCCTATTGTAATCTTTTTTATTTGCATTAAATATATCTCCGATTGATCAAGTTAGTATTATATACAATTGCTCGACAATTAACTTTCCAAACATTGACACTAGGCGAATTCAAATTAGATGTTTAATTGAGCTTAAATTTATACTGTGCATGATGAAAATACATTTGAATGTTTACTTAATTTATAATGCATCATTCTTCATAATTCGCAATACATTAGTATAATCTTGTAATTTATTTGTCTTCAGAGAAATATTTCGCATTTGTTTTGTACTATCTGAAACACTTCCTTTACTGTCATTCTTTTCTGGTGTTGCCTGAGCTATAATTATGAAGTGTGAATAAGGCTCTTAATCCATCATGCACTAAGACTACTTCAGTTTCAGAATATTCACAATTATTGCCTTTCGTTTGATAAAAGTGTCGAGCTCTTCTTTCCATTTATCATCTCGTTTTGATTTCTTTTATCCATCCAACCAATAGTAGCCAAATCTTAGATATGAAGACCAAGATGGTGTGGCCCAAGGTTTAGTCGTAGTCTCCTTAGCTGTGCGTTTTTTATTTTATCTCGCTTTAGTAGTTTGCCCGGAGCGACAGGGAGACTGGAACATACCTAGTTCTTCGTCCTCTGTCATAGTGTTCATGATACTTTCCAGCATCAGACTGTTCACCAAGTTGCAAAATCGAGGTCAGACCAACACTAAAAACAACTAGGCTAATGAAAATTTTCTTGACTAGTCTGAGTATGGATTCCTACATTTTAATTGTAAATACTTATTGGCTCACAACACCCTTCTGTTAGTGGCATTTTATACTGTAGACCTTTTTGCACTTGTCCTATTATACCGTGGGCATCGAATGAGTTTTGACTAGGTGTTCATATTGTAGAAACATCCCTATCCTTAAATATTCAAGTCATTATACTGGTTATTCTCTGACTAGTATTTTTACATTGTTCAGTCTAACATTTATAACCAATGCATTGGACGACGCTAGTATTATTCATACCTCGCTTGTTCCAGTGCGCCCTTAAACTAGACCTAACTTGATCATGACTAATTCGATTAAGCTTCATGTATTGTATATTTCAATTTAGCCGAAGCCCTTCTTCAAGCCCCGGATCTCCTCCCGTTGTACTGACTCAGCATCTAGATCCTGGTTCGCGTCGTTTCCTCTTAATCTCGGCTCATGGCCTCGTCACTCTTGGCCTACCCAGTCCACTCACTCATCTTCGTCGCATAATAGCATCAGGGATTAATCCTATTGCTACACTCAGTAGCGGGAGCGCTGGGGTTGGTTCCTCTGTCAATGAGCTGAGCATGGGTGTCGGAACAAGTACTGGCTTTGGCCGAACTTCGCAGTACTGGCATCAGACTCAATTGGCAGGCTTTCTTCAGCAGTTTGGCCCTAATGAGGCAGTATGCGCTGCAATCATGATTGCTGCAGAGGCCGTAGCTGCAGACGGTTCCAGCATCTCTGATGAAGCAGTCGAGGCGATGGGATCTACAGGAAGTGTAGTCGGCAATGAGATGGTTGGCAGGATGACCCTCATGGATCTGGCCGAAAAGGTGAAGGCCCTTAGATTATAATTTAATTCCATTTTTTCGAGAGCAAACCGCTATATTACTTCTGTTTAGGCAACCCTATATTCAAGGTAAACTAACCATTTTTAGCACCTAGAATGTCCCAGGCACTTTCGTAGCACATTTCTGCTGCTTTATAAGTTTAGTGTGGATAAAAGCGTCATGGTCTTTTGAGTAGGACATAGTATGCTAATCGACAGTCTACGGAAATATATCTTTTTAGTCTCCTGGATAAACTAATAACTTTAGAAGTTGTTTGACTTTGTTTTCGCAACTTGATCATAAT